CTCCCCAGTCCCCTTTTCCCAGAACAGGACAAGCAAAATGAAAGCAACCAAGAGCTAGAATTGCAAAACTATTGCCCCTTGTGTTGAAAAAGAGACACACAAGGAAAACCACAAACTGACACAGCTTATCTTTTGTTTCCAACAAGAAGAGCAACAGATTTCCCTATAAACCCAGCCCTTCAGTTCTAGAAACAGCATCAGCTTTTCCTCTGTCACAACTTCCCCACTCCATTCTTCATTCAGCCCCACTCTGTTTTTTGTTCAGTCCCTATCTTGTTTCTTACCTTTCCATTCCCCCCTGAAGCAGCTGTGCCCTCTGTAGCTGGCATCTTTTCAGATGGCTCTGAGGATCCTTTGCATCAGGTGCCACAGCCATTCTTTGAAATGCCATGAAAGGCAGATGATCCTTGAACTAATCTGAACCTCAAAGGTTCTGACTACACAGGTCACCAAGACCGTGCATCACTACATCCCAGGGACAGACAGAAGCCAAGGTAAGAACAAAAAAACACCCCAAAATAAAACACACACACACACACAGAAAAAGAGGTAGGGAACATGGTGAGATAAGAAAAGAGAGAAGAAGAGGTGAAGAACAACAGCAACACCAGACTCCCTGGCTTAAAAATACATCTGGTCATGTCTTGTAAAATCCTCTTTTGATTCACACTAACAGAATACTGGAAGTACGAACCTGTGCTCCAAATAACAAAGGTAAAGTTCACCATCTGTGCTATTCTGCTAGGGAAAGTTAAAAAGAGCAACAATCAGCATTTTAGTCCTGGTTTGTATTTTACATACGGATCTTGCATCCCCTTTATGCAATGAAGCTATAGCAAGCAAAATCACAATGGGCCACTTGTTATTTATTAGGTTGTCTGTATCACTCCATTCATTACAGAAATAATTCTTTAACCAAAATTAAAAAAAAGGTATTATATCCAGAAGTGCAGTAGGCATCTTATGTATTATTTCTCATTTTTAAGGCCTCTATTAGATTTGATCAGTTTGTAAGCTACAGACTCCATCAGTCAAATAGTTTTACCCGCCTGAAGTCCATAAAAAATGGCATTTGGAGGACATGTTATGGTTTTCATGGTTAAAATTACTATGTGGTGTTAATATGCTATTTAAAAACAAAATAGCTCTGCATTTCCTGCTAAATATTAATGGATGAATACACAAGTCTCTCCAGCTCCTTATAATTGCTTCTGATTTCTCAGACTGAGAAATGAAGATTTTTCAATTTCCTTTTTCAAATGTCAGTGTGTATTTTTCCCTCCTCCTCTTTCCCTGCCTCCAAAAGACTCCTTTTTTCATACAAGTTTATGCCCTAATAAGAAAACCGGACATACTAGGGAGGACAGAGATGACAGAGTATCAAAACACACAATCCCCTCTTTGTTAGCCATGCAGAAAGACTTTAAAAAAAAAAAAAAAAACAGGATGAAGACTGAAAACAATAGAAGGACCTTTATAAACAGGGACAAGAGCAGCAAGATGCAAGAAATCCAATGAAATCTTTAAAATGGATCAGTAAAGCAAGCAAAATACACTTGGGCACACCTCTGTTCTCCAAAAAGTTCCCCACACACAACCAAAATTAAGGATCCTCATGACATACATTCAGAAAACCTATAATCTCAGAGCTCAACAAGCAGCAATTTGGGCAGATAATTTTCTCCTTCTCTCCTCATATTCAATCACAATTACAGCACCTCTGCATCGAACCATTTCCCCCATCCTTTCCCACGAAACAAACGCTCAGTGTCACACAAGCAGGGGCTGCACACACAGGCTGGATGCACCAAGCCAAGCCTGAGCTCCTTCACAGCTCCCACCAGTGTGCTGGAACAGTCCAGCCATGCAGGTATACACACAGGAGCCTGTCCTTGCTGGGATGTGAGTAACAGCACCAATGGGGAGGGCAAAGTTCATTCATGAATTCTTTTATTTCTGCCTGGTTGAGGTTAGACATGTCATGGACACAACTGGCCCCTGCACAAACTGGAAGTGGAGCTTCCTTCAGTGACTGACTCAGAGAACTGCCAAGAGCTCTCGGTCAGGCAGCAATGTTGAATTTCATTTCTCCATTTGTATTTTTAATCTTGGAAACAAAAACATAAATGTAAAGCATGCTGACAGAAGAAAACAAATACGCAGTTCTAGAAAGCCCTGCTACTTCCCTGCCAGGCCGAAACACCTGCTCCTGCTAATGATGGCTTTATGCTTACTTACACCTGCCATCCAGAAGGGCTCCAGAGCACTTTGCAGCCTGATTTATACATACACAAATCATTAAAACCACCAAAATTAAGCCACTGCTGGGGTGAGATGTGGCAACTGTTGAACTGCACGCAGCCATGCTGTTTGACTGCTCAGGACAGGAACTGTAAGAGACACCAAATCCAACCAAAGCTATGGGGAACGTTAGGCTCAGAGAGCATCATTGCCCAATCTGGATTTTAGCCAGTCACTACCTAATACATTTGCATGTGGAAAACCTTAGGATCTTGAAAGTGCACATGCAGTGCAAATTTTGATTTTATAAATGATCTAAAATATTATATATATATATATATACATACACACATATACATATACACACACACATATATGTTTCTTATATGTGAAATCCCCCCTTTAGCAGTCCCTCCCTGCACTAATTATTGTTTATGCCTTGACTTCAGAAGCTCACCATATCAGACATCAGTTTTGGAAACATCCTGTGGTTGAAGCACTTAATCTAGCAGAGCCAGCAAACTGATAGTGTCTGGTAATAAATGTAGATTATTAAAAAAAAAAAAAGATGTTTAACAAAACACATGCATACAAAGAGTGGATAAGTTACTCCCCAGCAAAGACAGAGCCAAATGAACTGAATTTGTCAACTCATCCCTGAACAGCTACAAAAACCAAGAGATTCCCAGGGCTGACACCAGCAGGCTGAAGAGAAAATACAGCATTGCTTTCTAAAAACCTCCTCACGAGGACAACACCAAATTAACAGTTGCAAAGCCAATGGACTGGAATGAAATAGGTGTCCTGCACATACCAAGAGGGCAAAAGGACACTGGGAAACAGGTTAAAAAGATTAGGAAACCTGGCATCCAAAAAATGCCAAGGTATGTTTAACAGTTTAGGAGTTTAGGCACAAATTTGCAGCATCAAATATGCGGAACATGCAGAGCAACATTTTGAAAATTGGAATGTGCTCAGCACGTAATCTCATCATAATATTATCAGCAATCCATCAGAGATAATAATCTGTTTCTCTAAGGCAATTTTAAAATAACAAAAAAAAATCCGGAGATCTGGGCATCTTTTACTAAGACCTCCTCCAGAGGTCTCCTTACTCGAAAGTAGTTTTATTGTAATCCTAGAAACAACAAAAATTCAGTTCCCAAAACTAAACACAGACAAACTTGAAATACAACACGATTGTTGAAAAGTTTCAGACACATGTGCCTCTGAATCATCCTGACAATGCCTTTTCCATGCTGTTTAAAATAAATGTTTCTCCCTCAGATTTTTGTGCAGTGCTCCTCAAAATAACAGATTTTTTTTTAAATTACAGGTAAGCACAGGAAGAATTGCAACAACAGATGACCAAAAACCCTCAGCCTGAAAACACTGTTTAAAACTAAAAAAAAAAAAAAAAAATCTCTGATTTGAAGAGCTTCTAGATTCATAAATGGGAAGTATAATTCTGTGTTTCTTTCTTCTATTTAATCCAAACACAGAATATTTCTCAAATACTTTGTCAGAACAAAGCAGCCTGGGCACACCAGAATTACTGAATGAGCTACTTAAGCTAATGAGTGCAAAGGTGTTTCCAACTGAAATAAACCGGAACAAAACAAAATCCCACACACCCCTCTAAAAAAACCCAAACAAAACATTTGTACATCAAGCATCAATCTGCTCAACTATACTGCATATCCTATTGTTAGAAATGTACACTTCCACCCTGTTAAATACACATTATCAACATGTTTTCTAAATTCCTAGATATTTCTTATTGTTGCCAAAGAACCACCAGCCTTTACCAAGGTTATGATAATGCATTTCAAATTTCTTCCATAAATAATTATGATATACCTTTGCACCTTCAGGCAAGTTGTTGCAAACCCTCTAGAAATATCCTGAGTCTGCAGAACCATGTAAGTTTCCCTACTGCTGGAGCACACAGATCCTGGTTTTGGTCCAAAAAAGAGACACTATCATGGAAAGTACCTAACACTGCTCTCTCCTTTCCAAGAAACAATAGTAGAGTACAAAGGAACAGGTAATACCCTACAGGATCAATGCTGTGGTACTAGAAAATGAACACCTCCCCCAAAAAACCCAAACACACTGTTTTGGGAAGAAAAGAAGGCAAAAAGCCTAACCATACATGTGACTGTCTTTTCAGTTTTGCCATTCTGTCAAGAATAAAGACTTTATATAAAAATCAAATGTTGTTCATGGTACAACCAAAATGCACAGAGTGCAGAAACTCAAGGCTATTCTTCCTGTCCAGGACACTGGTACCCAGAGCAGTTCAGACACACACAGAATAGCACATTTTCTAGCAAGTCTCTGCAAGAGGACAGAACTGCTCACAAAATACAGGCATATTTTTCACTGTTCAAAAATATTCATCTTAATTGTCCCTTCTAGCATAAAAAGGAAAGCTACAGACCTACATACAAACCAAAATTATTTACTACAGTTTAACCTCTAGCACTCTAAGTAATATCTCCTTCACTTGCTACCTTTATCATCATTTTCAAAGCAGTTGACACCAATTTTTGGTGAACACATGAACACACACACACACAAGAAAACCCCTTATGCATGCATTTTCTAACACTTGAAAAAAAGTCAGGCATGCTCCCCATGTGCTGTTTCCCACTAGGATGAACAGGAAAATAATGGATTATTTGAGGACATGCTGCTAAACACCAGATTAGAGGGATTGGAGTCATTTCACTGTCCAGAAGGGAAGAGTCACTCACCTCGTTTGTGAAGCCAGCCTTCCTTCACTATCGCTACTTCATTCATAATGGCAGGAATGTCTCTTGAAAACCAGTTTATGGCAAAAGATCACTCAGCTGAATTCTTGAACTCCAGCAGAAGGCTCCACAAGAGGGATGACAGTTTCTCCTCCGTTTTCCTCCTTTCCAGCTATTTCTAAACGGATCAAAAGAAGAATACACCATCATTTCAAAGCACGTCGCAGATGTACAACAATGTGTACAACAGGGAGTAGTTTTCATTGCTGCATTGCTGGTTTGGGATTTTTCTGTTCTATTATTATTACACAACTTAAGCAAGGGCTTAGCTCTCCACAAGAATTTATCTTGGCGGGTAGAGGTGCCAAAATACAAGTTTGCTAAAGTCCTGCTTCTTCACTGAGTAGGCTGATCATGGACAGACTCACAACACTACCAGGTGCTGTCTGAATTACAGGTGGATTCAAGACCTTCCCTAGTAGTCCTCCATCTCTGCAACACCACCTTGTTCTTAGCAACAATAAAAATTCTGAAATATCACAAAAACCAGTTTGCAATGTTTCCTGGTAAGGAAGACTTCCAGAACAACTCCTGGAAGGTTTCTTTACAGCCTGCTAATAGTCTATTAACCAGCACACAGTGTGTCTTAAAGATAAACCTCTGACTGTAAATATTCCTATCCCGCTCACAATTTTCCTACCTTCAGCATCATCCCCTTAATCCCACTCAGATCTCCTTGACTCCCCAAAAAGTATCTTCTCTAACTTTGATATTTCTAACTTCTACCTCTCCTACTGGTATACAAACAGCCACAAATAAGCTCACGTACCTTACTGTTATCCCAAACCAGCCCTTACAGCACCCTGATCAATTTTATTGCTCTTCCTTAACTGCACTGCAGTTTGCTGCTGCCTTTCTCACAATGAAATATACCCAAGCACAACCTGGGACTTTTACCCCTCTGTTTTATGAGACAAAATCCCTCTCTAAACAGCTCAAGATTACCATTTCTTATTGAAAATGCGCCTTGCTCGTGGCTGACTACCACAGAAACATTCTGTGCATTTCTCTCCCTCACTGAATGTAATCTCTTCCCAAATGCATTAACTTTTATTATTTTTCTAAATTGAATCTGATTATTTTTCTCCTTGTGGTACAAATATTCCCTGTTTTTCTTTATTTCTTCTATGCACGCTGAAGTGTCCATGCTGCCATCCAATTTGGTATTATTTGAATGATCAAAAAACCTAACTGGTGACAAATTCCCAGCAGTAACCATCAAGTTTAATAAAACAAAACCCAGCAGGATTTGTAAACTGCCACCAAAGACCCAGCTTTTACTGGAGTCTCTCACCTACCACAGAGACATCCCACTCCCACCTGACAAATATATACCATCTCTGCATGCACTTGGCACGTGTGCATCAATTATCTCTGAGCATTGCAGGTGATAGCCATCCATCACAAACTAGATTAAAAAGCAACTAATTCCCCATAACTCACTAAGACACAACACTGGATGGAAGAAAACAGGTGGTCAAAATGAATCCAACCTAGAACTGAAACCCCAGCAGGGGCAGAGGGCTTTGTACTACATCCCAGTGATCTGAAACAGGCAGTGTTCAAAGCACAGAGCTCGAATTTGAACAAGTTCCATCACTGCCAGCAGAAATGGATGGAGAAAGGAGGTCACTCCCCTGACACTCTGCCTATGAACCTACACTGTTTGTTACTGTTCCTCAGCTTTTCCAGTTAACAGTTTATGTTGAAGTTCTCTCAGAAACAAGGTGAGTTTGGATTTTTTTTTTCTAAACTACAAATTTGCCGACCTCACTAGTTAGAATTATCAACTCCGTGAAACAGATGTTTGCCTGAGGGAGTGAAGACACACAAAAAATTACACTGGAACAAGTGACATGTAATAATTCCTAATTTCATAAATAAATATGAGAACACTGTATGCTGCAGAATAGAGACCAGTAATCCACAGCTGCCAGAGATACCTTGGAACAAACTCCTTGAGCTCCAGAGCAATTAGGATAGAACCTGACAAGCACAGCAGGCTTTTTCCTTTCAAAATGGCCATGCACAATGCACAACAGCCATGCAAGCTAGACTTGCTTGCTGATGGCAAGAGGAGACTAAACCTCAGTCAGAGGCTTGAGCAATTTGCAAAGTGTTGAACAAAACCCTCAAGATTATCACAGCTTGAGTATGGAAATGCAACACCCAGGTGTGAAAGTTAGCGCTTTAACTCTGTGTCACACAGGGTGCAGGGACTGCGCAATCCTACCTCTGCATCCTGAATTCAACCATTTAGAGGCACTGAGCAATCAATATCCTTTCCAACAACCATACATAAAAATGGAAGCTACAAGACAAACTAGGCTGTAGAAAGGGCAATGCTATTATTAAAAACATAAAAAAGCTTGAAGGACCATAACTCTCCAATCTGCAGCTAACTTACTCCAGGTTTTCCTGCTTTAACACTTGTCAGGATTACAATTTGGCAGCCTCCTGCTTGTCATCAGCTCAACTGTCATTTAATAATCCAAATCTGAATGACAACAGAGCCAAAAAAAGCAGATCAACAAAGAAATACAAAGTTCAGAGGGACTATTTTTTCTACTCTCTGTGGAGTCCATGCAGCTTGGACTGCCTTTTCCCTACCAGTTCTACCCAAGAAACATTTCCCACTTGCTACTGAAGCCGTGCTCTCAGGGATGTGTCTTTACCTGCCCACCTCCTTTCAGGGGAGAGGGGTGGTGAAGGGGGTGGAGAGTTTTGTAAAGAAGCCATGGCACAACAAAGTGGAAAAACATTGAACACTTCCTGACACCAACCTGCATCATGGGTCCCACCTCAGTCCTTCAGTCAGCCATGTCAGAGCACTTATCCACATGGAGAAACTTAAGCTATTTTTAATTTGCAATGTGAAGAGCTGAGGATCCCTTCTCACTGTCTAACAAGATGTCCATAGGCACAGCTCCAGCAGCAGCAAACCTGCTCTATCTGCTGTATTTTAAATCACACATTCAAGCTGTGCCTAATACATCTATTTTAGTAAGAGACGTTATTGAAGACAGTGGCAGCAAGCAAGAGTGATTTCTCGGAATAGAAGAGCAAGTTAACTATAGGTCAATGTACTACTGAAGATGTGTAAACCAGAAAAAGTTCCTTTTCCATAAAATCCTTACAGGGGAAAAAGAAAAAAAAAAAGAAAAGGAATGATTACAGTCCTCATTTATGGCCATCTAGGAATGGTTCCCAGTGAAGAGAGGGCATCTGAGGTAAGTATGACCTGGCTGCTCCAGTCTGTGTCTGCACAGGACTGAATACTGTCAAAAGCTAAACAACTTGGTCTTTCTCTTAGTCTTCCCTTTGCCTGTTTTTCAACATGCATTTCTGTAATACTTTTTTTAACACTGCAATAGTCCTCACGCAGCTGAAGTGCTGTAAATCATGAATGGCATGACATCAGCATTGTATCATGGTGACACCGGTTCTGCGTACATATTAATGCCTTAAAGGTTATTAAGTTCTTCATAAATAACGAGATAACTCACTTCTGTAGGCACTGCAGCAACGAAACCTGCTTTAAGGAGTCAGTCAAACCAAGCATCCAACAGAAGGTGGAGCAGAACCACCTTTTCCGTATTTGGGAGAGTCGTGTTAGAGCTCCTTCTCTCGTTCTCTTCTATACATTGTCCTCACCTTCTTTTTTCTCTAAGAAAATAGAAATATTAATCTGTACTTCCTGTCCGCTTTCCAATGCAAAGGTTTGTATTTGTTTCCATTCACACCCTAGAGCAAATCAGGAAGAAAAGGAAGTCTTCCATTAAGCTGAGGCTTAAGCTTATGGGATGCAGGAGCACCTATGGTAATCACCTCATCTTCATGAGGGAGAGCAAGCAAGGGACTAAAGGGAGACTGACCCACCAGCCTCAGTCCTGGCACGTCACACTGTGTCTGGGCTGCACTCGTTAGCCCAGATCAGAAAGCAGATTACAAAAAAGCATTCCCCTGGGCTAACACTGCCTGTCACACAACCAGCTACCACTGCCCACTGCCCTGGTGTGGCACAGTCCTGACTCTCCCAGGACACTCCGAGCCCAAACGTGCTGCACATCCTTACATGTTCTCATAATGCACAGCAGCAGGACCAGGCAAAACAGGATCCAGCCGCCCAAGTTTGCCTACTGTGGCCACATGACACTGTCATGAGAGCAGACGAGGTACAGGGGAGCCGGACTGGTGCGTCCAGGCCCGTTACATGGGATGCCACAAGCAACCTTCCCTCTCTCCCCAGTGCAAGCTGCCAGCTGACAGCCAACTGCACCAAAACAGCACAGACACAACAAAGTTGGGCTCCAGCCAGCGTTCCAAGTGGAGCGTACAGATAGATGTTCCCACCAGGCTTTGACCAGTGAAGTACATCTCCTGCCTTACGCAAATCCTGCCCTGGCTGTTTCACGGGAGCTGCAGCGATTCCAACGCGCTCAAGGCCCTCTGAGCCGGCAGCAGCTTCGCACCATGACCCAGTTACCAAATCTGGGCAGACAGCTTTCAAGGAAGCTTAGAAGGACCAGGTTGTGCCACCATCTTAGCTTCCCTTACAAAAAGGCATTGTGGGCCACGACTGAGGTGTGGCCACCAGTATTTGCTACTGTGTGCTCTGTGTGTCCAAGACACCACATCCATACTGGAATTTCATGGCAGCAAGTGCAGCAGATCACAAGGTTCACAAAGGATTCTCAGATACTAAGTTATGGGGAAAATGGCAACTGGAAAACAAAAATCTCTACAGCCACATCCCCCCCTCTTTTTTTTCCCCAATCTATTAGCCTAATCTAGGTTTACAAAACTGCAATTTGAAATATTTGTGCTCTCCTGTCTCTGATCAATAGACAGGAGGTTAATGCTGTTCAGGTGAGGGGCCACAGTTACGACATCCAACTGTCTGTGCTGCAAACACAACAACAGTTTGATAGGACAAACTAAGCTACCTATTTCAAAACTGAGTGATGGCAGAAAAGTGACTTCTTCATAAGCCCCTCTGCAACCCAGACAAAATCTCCTTTATGTTCCCAAACAAGGACAAGTCTTTTTACAGTTTATGCTCATATAATTTAAGAACTGTGCTGCCTGGACCTCTGCTACCAACCTGAGATATATTTAATCAAATTCCATTTTAAAGTATTTGTAACTGAAGTTTGGTTCAGTCCCCAAAGAAATCAAGATAGTTGTGAAACTATTTAATTGTTAATGTAATCACTTACAGAACATTTTTATAAGACCGTAAGTGAATACTGGAGCTGAAAGTGACTTGTGGACACTGGATCAATTCTTAAATTTGATTTACCACTGCTGCACACCAAAAACAATTCTATAAACACCACACACAACATAAACCCTACTATTTAAAAAAAAAAAATCAAAGGTAGTTCCACAGTGTCTTTAAATCTGCTAAGTCAGACAAATGTTGTGGCTGTCACCATGAAACTAACTACTACATGAAAGTAATTACTAGTCGTGCAGTATGTCAAATTTATTTACCTGCAAACAAATACTCTTGAGCATTAAGTGTTAGTAACTCCCTTTTATAACTGTATTTTGAAATGTACATCCCTCCTGCGGTATAAATAAAACAAACAAGTGAAAATCATGGATTTGCTTCTTACATGATAGAGGTGGTAGGAAAACAAAGCAAAACAGTTAAATATTTCCCACCGGGGTGGCCGGGGGGGGGGAGGCACACACCACCAATAAGGTGCAAGCTGTATCTGCATCAGTAGCGTCCTGTCAGTAAAATGAATTGAAAGTACCAGAACGTTTATATGCTTGATTATGTGTTTTACAAAGAAACAGATACAAGTCCTACAAGTCTCTAAGAACATTTCGGCAACTGCTTCACCTGGGGGGGCGGGGGGGACTCTGCAGACAGCTCCCTACACCTCTGCAAAACACGACTGCAAAAAAAAAAAAAAAAAAAAAAAAAAAAAAAAAAAAAAAAAGAAAGACAAAAAAAATCAAGTCCACAAGCGCTGCACAGCCACCTACACACGCGAAATGCCCACGGAGGGAATCACACCCCCGTCGGCAAACACTCAGTGGTCCGCAAAGCGGAGCTGGGCTGAACAACGCGGCCGCAGAAGACAAGGGGAGAAAATGGGGGCGGGGAAGGTAGGAAAATGGGGGGCCCTCGGCTACTTTGCTCGCCGCTGTTTCAGGAATATCACAAGAAATATCACAAGGCACCCCCCAGCCGCCCCCACCGCCGTTTCCCCGGGGGATGCTCGCGCAGGGACCGGGGCGGGGGCAGGCCCGAGGGGAGACCCCCGCCCCGCCGCCCTCTCACCCACCGCATCCCCGGGGAGCCAACAGCTTCCTGTCCGCTCCGGGCCCGCCGGCAGCACGGACCGACGGCCGGGGCCGCCTACCGCCCGGGCCTCCTCGCCCCCCACCCCGCCTGGCCGTGCCCGGGGGCCGGCGGGGCAGCCCACGCCCGGGGAAGGCGAAGGGAGAGCGGCCGCCCCCTTTCCCGGCCCTTCCCTTCCCTCCCGGCCCCGCACAATGCGGCCGCGCCGAGCAGGCCCCGGCCCCGGCGCTTCCTTCCCCCAGCCCTTCCCAGCCGGGGAGCGGGTCACTTACATGGCTGGAGCCCGGGGAGGAGGCGGCGGCGGCGGCAGGGGAAGGGAGCCGGGGAGGGAGTCAGGGGAAGGGGAGGGAAGGGGGGGAGCGAGCCAGCGAGCGAGCGGGGGAAGGGGGCGGCCGGCGAGGCGGGCGGGCTCTGCGGCGGGCGCCGAGCGAAGGCCTCACTGGGCTCCCGGCAGCCGCCGCCTCCTCCTCACCATCCCCGGGCGGCGGGGCGGCTCCTCCTCCCCCTCTCGTAGGCGCTCGGCCCGTGGGGCTCGCACACCCGCTCCGGCTGCCGGCTCGCCTTCCCCGCCGCTCCGCCCTGCGAGGCCGCCCCTCGCCTCGCCTCGCTCCGCCGCCGCCGCCTCCCCCCGCAGCCCCGGGCCGCGCTCCCGCCGCCCGCGCCGGGCTCGTCCCGCACGCGTCTCCGCGGCGCTCGCTCGCACCCTCCGCGGAGCGACCGCCCGGTCCCGCCGCCGCTTCCCGCCCGTGCCGAGGGGCCGCCCCGCTCCGCTCCGCGCCGCTCCCCGGACGGAGTTCGTGGCCTCGCCACCCTCCGAGCTCCCACAGCGCGGCGGAGCAGCGCCCGCCAGCCCGGCCCCCTCCGCCCACCCGCCGGCCCGGCCCCAGGCCCCGGGGGCGGCGTTTCCTGGCCCCGGGCGGCCCGGTGTTCCCCCTTCCCCCGGCACCGGCCCGGCCCCGGAGCAGAGCGCTGGGGAGGCTGTGCCCCGGGAGTGGAGGGATGTGGCCTGCCCTGACTCGGGCTGTGAACGGCTGCCTGGAGCATGGACAATTTCACAGAATCAATCAGGTTGGAAAGGACAGGTCATCGAGTCCAACCTATAACCGAACACCACCATGTCAACTAGGTATGGCACTAAGTGCCACATCCAGTCGTTCCTTAAACACCTCCTTAAACTCCAGGGGCAGTGACTCCACCACCTCTCACTGAAATGGACAGCCCATTTCCAATGTCAAAACACCCTTCCTGTGAAGAATTTCTTGCTTATGTCCAGCCTAAACCTTTCTCGGTGCAGCATTAGACTATGTTCTCTGGTCCTGTCACTGATTGCCTGGGTAGAGAGACCGAGCTCCACCTGGCTACACCCTCCTGTCACGGAGTTCTAAAGAATTATAAAATCCCCTTGAGCCTCTATTTTTTTCCAGGCTAATCACCCTCAGCTCATTCAGCTCTTCCTTGTAAGACTTGTTCTCCAGCCCCTTCACCAGATTAGTGCCCTTCTCTGGACAAAGGGCAACCCCAAAAAAGAGGGACCCTGCCCCACATAGATGAGAGGCTCGGGCAGCCCCAGGATTTCAGACTCTAGGAAGGGCCAGGCTCCTTTAAACCTCTTGGGGTGCTTCCAGCAAGCTCCCCCCAAAAGCATGGGGTGCCATTTCTGCTTCTCTGCCCTCAGAGTTTTCCCTTACACTCCCGTAAAATACCAGATGATTAACTAATGAGGTACCACAGTACGTTGGAGGATGCTCCAATGTCCCTTTCCACATCCGACAGGCTGAATTAAGGAACTGCCCATGGAGGGGCTGGGGTAGTGATTCTGGATCCTGCACTCAAGGCCATCCTGCTTTCGTGGTAGGAATGGCTCAAAGCATGACAAATTGCTCCAACTATTGCTTGCAGCATGGCAATATTTTTGGTAAGGTTCTTGAGAGCCATTCTGCTCTAAAAAACAATGTTGTGGAAACACTAATGACAGATTAACATTTCTCCACCCTCCCACTATCAAAATTTGTCTTCTTTGGTCATTAAGAGATCTCGCTTATTCTCAAACTGACAGTGCCATAAACGTTAACGGGGTTGTAAGAACTGATTGGATTTCTTCAGAAACGTACGATCACTGCTGATCACATTTCTGCAATCGGAAGCTGCCTGGAATTTAGGAAACAGCGCATCTTCCCACAGCTTTGCACTGTTGGCAACATAAAAGTACATAAAACGCATTTACAGCAGTAAAGCTGGGAACTACAGCTCTGCCTTTACCAACCTATTGGATATAATAAGATGCTTTTTTACTACATCATTTTGATGATTGTAAATGTTTGCTGGAATTCACTTTCTTCTTCCGTTTTGATCAGCTAGGTCTGACTGATCATATCTGCCATCAGGGTTCCTGAGCATCAAATGGATTCCTGGATTTTGGGTACACTGGTGTGCTACAGGAGCCAACAACGAGGCAGAGGAGAAATGGCATCTGCATTTTCTTCATGGAGAGTGAAGAAAGAGTAATGCCTCCTTTCTCACCAACATACAGAGCAGTTCCTGCTGGCAGAGCAGCTACATCAGTGTGGGGTTTTCTGTGCGTCACCTTTAGGTTTACTGGGGCATATTTCAGCACAGTTTTAAAAGTGTACCATTCAGGCACTTCAGCAGAGTAAGCAGGCCCTGTGGTACTGGCCCAGTTACCCAGGGCAGAATGAGATGGCTGTAGGAGCTCTCTAAGTTGTAAAGGTAATGGAAAAGAAAAATCTGGTTTTGTCATCACATTTTGACGTACCATGCATTACTTACAAAATACTTAGTGTGTATTAAAATGTAGGTAGTCCTTAAAGATATATTTAAAATTAAATTCATCATCAGTGTGCAAAACTTGCAGGCAGCTCAAAGGACATGTATTTTACTTAAGAAAAACCAGGACAAAATTAATTTATCAACTAATTTTGAGCCTTCAGGCTGTAGTTACATCTAGAAATAAAGAGTGTGTGTAAGTACAGGAGTTCACTGGCCGTGAGATAGTGGGGGCAGGGGGATCTCTGGTAATAGATCTGATTTCAGGAGAGCTTTCTCACCTTCCTGACAACCTCTCTCCTGATTGATAAGCTCCCAGGCTGCGTGGTGAGCAAGGTCATTAGGACTTCCCCCTGCAAATGAAGCAGCAGTTTAAAAAATAAGATCATAGAGTAAACAGTTTTCTGTCCTGAAGAGAAGAAAATAAACGTCCGTTGTTTGCTAGAAAGGAAGTACAATTAAAAAAAACCCTCCAGATTTCAACATGAGCATATTGTTTAGATTTGCCGACTGTTGATTTACCATGATGAAAGACAGGCCCAAACTAGAAAGTTTGGATCCTGATCTGGATCTGACATTCCCCAAATCTGAGGGGGAAGTGTGATTCAGAGTCTGGAGAAAGGGCTTATCTTTCAAACACAGCAAAGTACTGTGGATAAAAATACTCAGGTAAAGTAGGAAGTGCCTGGTCTGCAACAACAAGAGTGACTTTGTATCAACAATGAACAAAAGCAGCTTTTTTTTTTTTCTTTGAGAACAATGAAATCACTCAAGAATTGTTATAAATACAAACAATGTGGGTTTTATCACTCAGCTATCATCAGTGGGATTATAGTCTATAAACCCTAATTTTCAGGGAAGTCCCTAGATTTCCCTGAGCGCTTCCTCAGATTTCACATCTGTTAACTCTGGTTTATTAAGTGCTTCAGGATAAGGTGCATCAACTGAGCCTTGGTATTACATTACCTGAAAATACTGAATGTAGGAGTTAGTGGCAAAGAATGGATGATTTCCAGACAGTGTATTGATACCACACCAGAGGAGCAGGCACTCCTGTTCCCATCCATTTTTAACACATATATAGGTAGCAATTAATTCAACATCACTTTTAAAAGTTATTTCTAAATTTTTAAATTATGAAGATTTGGATAAAATTATCCAGTCAGGCATAAGAAGAAAGATTAGCATGGTAAGATGAAATGGAATTACTGAGTTAACCCCCAGTAGAGCAAGCTCTGTTCCATGATTCAAGTAATGACAGCACCTCTGTGGGCCAAGAATGAATTTGTTCCTCCCTTTTTAAAAGGTGGGCTGTACTCAGACATACTCAGAGGAAAAAGCTATATGACATCTTATTAGAATTGCAGAGCTGATATCTCAATCTAGGCGTTATTAACTTTTAAACAAACAATTTAGAGAAAAATCTAGCTCAATAAAAATAGAAATTAGAAGTTCTTTTCACAGTGCCAAATATAATAAACATAGTTGTGCTTCTAAAACTGAGCTAATCCAATGTTTGAAGGTATATTTCTCAATAGCAAAACAATACCAGGCTCTCTGGAAAAAAAATAAAAATATAGTCATGCTGTGCTTTTGCTTTTTAGAAATTAATCTTGAGACTAAATAGATGTGTGAGTGCATCTGTACTTCTCCAACGAATTTCCTACAAAACTGCTGTCAGCTGAACTGGTAAGGTTGCTGGAGAGCAGCACTGAATGAGGCCTTGCTGCTCTTCCTCATGGCTTGTTGGAAGTCCTGGAACAGGCTGGACAGGAGACCTAGCTTTGGTTTGCTGCTGCTGTTCCTGGGGTGCTAAAGCTGGACAGCCCTAGGATGGCGGGGTGTCAGTGTTGTTAACCCCAAAGTGAGAGCAGTGCAGTCCTCTTCACCAGGAGTATGATAGCCATGACAAGGGGCAAACGTGCTGTGGGGAGTTTGATACATAAACAGGAACCCAATTGGTTTGCATAGAAAATGCACTGAATAAAACACAAAAATGGCAAATATTCAGTTGTGTGCCATACCCCACTGCAGTTGCTTTTGTTGTTACAATAATAACCACAAGTCTCAGTCTGGACTAGGCACCGTTAGGCACTGCAGGCACATCAGAACACTTGGGCTTTGATGTGAAGGGACTGAAGTCTGCTTCAAACCACTGTTTTTCCCCCTTCCTTGTAAAGTGACTTGTCATGAATTCTTAGATCAGGAAAGATACCCAGAAAAGCTAAACTTCAATGATCTGTGGGAGACAACATCACAATCTTAACTATAGTCAGATAGGCAAATCTGAGACTGAAATACTGACATTACAGACACAGACTAAAAGAAAAGCAAAAACTTTCAGGTTCCTGTTGCATTCCCAATCCTCACACACCCAGTTCTGATTATGTTCTTCACCCAAAATTACAGAGCTAAGCACAGTCTGGGCATATTAACCTGGGGGCTGTTTCAGTGTTTGATTACCCCTGCAGATCCCCACATACAGATCTCTGTGAAAGGAGCAGCAGCCACTCTGCTGGATGAGGGCACAGGCACAGCAGTGGGTTCTGTGCCACATGGATGGATCTCC